TTCAGTGTTTTTTGCCGTGACGTTTTTACGGAGAGCTGAACAGTGTGACAGGACCGAGGCGGCCCTCCTTTAAGGTGATCTGATGTGGAATGACCCAGATCTATCTCCTGCTAGGCTGCTGTGGAGAGATAATAGCGGTGTTGCCGACCTGTTTAGAAGGGAAACACAGGAGCCGTTTGCTAAAACATCAGCGGGACCCACTTTAAAAGTCTTCCATTTATAGCTGAACGTGGCTTCAAACTGTTTTTTTATGAAAAGTGCTTCGCTCAGCAGTTTTCCAGAATAGAACGAGGTTTATCTCCACACTCCTCCATCTTATTATTGCTAATATCTGTTCAGTTCGTTATTGCTTTGAGAACGTGGACACTGCGCTAACAGGCCACGCGCTTACTCTCCATTAGACACACACATACACGCATATAAAGACACCCTCCGTCCGTCCGTCAGTCTGTCTGTCTGTCTGTCTGTCTGTCTGTCTGTCTGAACTGGTAATGAACAGAGATGGGCAGGGTTGTATCTCTATGTACACATTTCATTTACAGTGATGTGCGTTTAATATAGTCATTTTTAAAAGTTGTAATCTAAAGTATGAAAATATGTTGGCGGAGATATTTTTGTATTTGTGCAAATACCCAAAATGCAGCGCTGCTCTTCAGGCACTTCAGATTCCACTTCGTTAATCACCCACTCTCATCGAGTGCCTTGTCACAAAGCAAGTAGGAGTACATTTAATCTTGCAATCACCCCTGATGTTGTTGTACTTTCTGAACCCTCATCAGGGCTTTTAGCTCACAGTCACGGCGCGGCAGCTTCGCCGGCTCTGTGCTCAGCTCTGTAACCGAACAGGAGGGAACACAGTGGCTGAAACCGCAGTCACAACAAACGAGAGGGAAATGTACCTGGCAACACGCTGGTGTACTTGAATGGGAAAGGATGCAGGAACACAAAGATACGGATTCACTTCTGGTAGCAATTCTGGGTCCATCTTCTTCCTCATGCTCTTCGAGAGTTTCTCCTTTTGAGTCTTGGTTCCTCTCAGTGGTTCTTCCTCATGCTCTTAGGGTGGTTCTCCTTTTCAGTCTTGGTTCCACTTGGTGGTTCTTCTTCATGCTTTTACAAAGTTTCTCCTTTTGAGTCTTGGTTCCTGTCAGTGGTTCTTCCTCGTGGTCTTAGGGAGGTTCTCATTTTGAGTCTTGGTTCTTCTCAGTGGTTCTTCCTCATGCTCTTAGAGCTTTTCCTTTTAGGTCTTGGTTCCTCGCAGTGGTTCTTCCTCATGCTCTTAGAGCTTTTCCTTTTAGGTCTTGGTTCCTCGCAGTGGTTCTTCCTCATGGTCTTAGGGAGGTTCTCCTTTTGAGTCTTGGTTCCTGTCAGTGGTTCTTCCTCATGCTCTTAGGGAGGTTCTCATTTTGAGTCTTGGTTCTTCTCAGTGGTACATCCTCATGCTTTTAGAGAGTTTGTCCTTTTGAGTCTTGGTTCCTCGCAGTGGTTCTTCCTTATGCTCTTAGAGCTTTTCCTTTTAGGTCTTGGTTCCTCTCAGTGGTTCTTCCTCATCCTCTTAGGGAGGTTCTCCTTTTGAGCCTTGGTTCCACTTGGTGGATCTTCTTCATGCTTTTACAAAGTTTCTCCTTTTGAGTCTCAGTTCCGCTCAGTGGTTCTTCCTCATATTCCGAGGCAGTTTCTTGTTTAAATCTCGGTTCCTCTTAGTAGTTCTTCCTCATTACAGACACAGTGATGCTGATTAGGGGGCTGAACACAGTTATCTCCACAGACTGCAGTGGAACAATGGCTGAAGAAACTTACATACAAACTAAATCAATTTGAATTGTTTCATGATTACATAATTGTTCTATGCACTGCTGATGTATAACCATTGTTAATGCTACTTCAGTTAGCCTGCATTAGAACATTGCAGAGAAGTAGATCAGACAGTTGGTGGGCTGTGCTGCTAGCATCCCACCATCAGCACACGCTGCTCTCTGATTTACTCAGTGCTGTTGGAGCTCACTGCCGTACGGAGGTGGCAGGTTCCTCACTCTCCCCTGCATGGCGATAGGAAACTGCCAAAAACCTACGGACCAGCCGTGGGCTGAGCTGCTTTGCTAGCGCCGATTGCAGACGTTTGTAAACGGGTTTGTTGAGAATCCAGATTTAGAGCTGTTGAGCTGTGCATAACGTGTCTTCTACCGAGACTAACACCTGTACCTTACAGCCCTGGATACTGAGGAGCCTTCGGGACACTGTGTTCTGTCTGTATTTGCACACATACAAATTAGCACTTTTTAATGAGGTGCATGAGCTTTAATGCGTTATAGTTCACTGATTTGTGTAAAGTCTGTTTACTCGTGCCCACCTCTGCCTGCCCGCCTGTGCGCTCTGCTGTGCTGTTTCTCAGTCTGTCACTGTCTGTGCACGCTGGCATTTCTGAAACACGTCTGAAAGGAAGTGACAGCGCTTTAAGAAGTAAAATTCTGAGGTTGTGCTCAACCCATTAACTACGGTCCGTACAGTCTGTGACCCTGTCCGCTGACCGGTCTGCCCACGTGCATAGCTTAGCCAAAATGGAAAAAGCAGATTTAATTTGGGGTTTGTTTTTGCCCTTTTTGAGGTACACTAAGTAATATCTCCACGCTTTGTTTGTCAGGTAATGACTCGGCGCCCTCTGACCCCCCCAAACTGACAAACAGAGTGCTGCTAACGCCCCTCGCTTCATCACCAACACCGTAACACTCTCCATCCATTATCATGAAGATCACTGATTTTCATAATGTTTCATGAAGTACTGATGGGCATTTTTGTCTGTTGTTAATGCTTCTTTCTCAAATAATAATAGTAATAATAATAATAATAATAATAATAATATACTATTGACAGTAGATTTGACACTGTCAGAACAAAACCTCATTTTCAGTTTTTGACATAATTTGAAAATGCCTGTTACTCTTTACATTGTCTGTAAATTTCATGATGAATGGACAGAAAGAAACGACCCAAAATGACTTGGAAAGAATTCTGGTTCCATTGACTTACATTAAAAGTAAAGTAGGTTTTTTTCCTTCTCCTGTAAAGTTACCATTTTGGAGATACGAGGTTTCCTTCCAACAGCAGCTACATGATATTTAAATAGTGGACAATAATAATAATAACTTACATAGCACCTTTCTAAAACTCAAAGAATGCCCTACAATGTCTTGCCAGCATCTATACACAGACATTCAAAATAAAAAAAAGGTAAATGTGTATTAATGTTTTTTGGTCAAATTATCTTGTCTAGTCTCAAATCTGTCAGACGAATGCAAAGTGTCTATGGGTATGAAAAATATTATATTAATTAAATGTATTATTATTAATAATATTATTATTGTTGTTATTACTATTAAGAGTAGTAGTAGTATTAATCAACTAATTCTAAAACTACTCTTTAAATATGTATAATTGTGTTAAATTTGTCAAAATACAATTAAATAGTAAATTTGTGGATTTTCTAACAAATCCATTATGAATTGATTAATTTTAATAAGGTATTCAGGCTTTCATTAGATTGATTTCAAATGATCAATTTAAACATGTTATCAAATAAACTGTTTAAATAGTAGATTTGCGATTCTCTTAATTATCATGTCAAGTAGTTGATAATTTACAGAAATAGAAGGTTTGTATGTTCATTAAATGCACTATGAATTGAGCAATTCCAGTAGAAGGTTTATATTATTATTAAATCTGTTTTTAAATTAACAGTTGAAATAGCAGGTTTATTATTCCTTTCTTTTTCGTATAACTGCACGTGGTGTATGAGTAATTAGAAGGTTTGTATGTATATGAATTTTATTAAATCCTACACACTATAAAAAAGGCTCATCAGATTAACCTAAAAAATTCTTCATGTGGTAACAAGTAAATTAACTAGTTTTATTCCACCTAAATAAATACTAAATAAATACTTTGAATGCATGATTCTTTGAATCAATGTATCAATCAATAGAGTTGAATAAAACTAATTCAATTGATTGATACCACATTAAGTATTTTTTTTAGGTTGATTTTGATGATTTTTTTACAGTGTAGGAGGTTTGTAATGTGTTGCTTGTCTGAAGGTGAGAATGGAGAAGCAGCTGGACTCGGACCCTCGGTCACTCACAGCAGCCTCGCTCTGGCCCTGAGCTCTGAACGTTAAAGGGGCAGTAGAAGTGCACGGCTCCCTAATCAGATCCTGAAGGCTCTGTGGTTTTGGTCAGGTAGGTTACAGCAGTGCAGATACTGACACTCAGAGTTTTACACCATTCGCAGACAGTCCGGCTCCCTCGCTCTCGCTCTGCCTGTTCGGAGGGGTCGCCGGGCCCCGTGTGCCTCTAACGCAATTCTCTGCTTGGTTGCCCAGACGCACACACACACATCTGAGTGGTGTTTGTGTAGGTAGTGCAGTTCTAAAGGGGAATTTTTCATGTGTCAAATTACCCTGTGTGCCGTGTACGTGTGTGTGTGCACCTCCAGTAAGTCCCTGTGGGCATTTTGACTCCGCAGTGCTAGTCAGTTGTGCCAAAGTTGAAAACAGGAAAGAAAGAAATGGAAAAACGGAAAAAAACCCTTATTTTTTATAATACCTTTTACCTCTCTAGAAAGTAATACTCCACACGAATCATAACTTAATCTATGCGAAATATTTACACGATTCAAAACTAAACTAGCTTTATGAAAAAAAGGAGGAAAGAAAGATTCAAGTTTTCCGTGCAGGATTAAAAAAAGTCTCTCTGGCCTTTTCATCTTTTTCAACAGAGCGAATGAACTGTGCAGCATCTCTTCCACTCATCTCTCTCACTCGTTTCTTTCTTACCCACACATAACACGCACTCTCTTCCTCACGCACTCATGTGCACAGTTCCCAGCCTCTCTTTTATGGCACTTTGCATTGTTATGCATTGTTTTTTTCTTTTAAATATCCAGTGTCTCCAGGAACAAAACATTAAATCAACAAGTATCAAAATGGGGTCTAAAGGGTAACGGGGCTATATCTCGGACTCCCTGCGGTAGGACCTTTGCTCCAGGCTCCGCTGGGGGTTCTGCAGGTGCCGTTCGAAGTCGTGCCGCTGCGTGGTTCTCTCGGGACTGACGCTCAGCGCCCTCTCTCGCTCTCCTCCGTCCTCCTCCTCTTCTTCGCGGCTGAGAAAGGCCAGCTCGTTCTCGTAGCAGAAAGAGTTGGCGGCGGGCGCTGCCAGGTATTTGCTCTCCAGTATGTCCTTGGCGCTGCAGCGTGGCGTGGAGGGCACCTCGTAGGTCTTGTGGAAGTGGGAGTAGTCCACTTTGTACTCATTCTTCTCCTCAAAAAGCACCGGCTCGAAGCGGTGGCCCCACAGGATCTCGCTGGCTAGGTAGGAGCTTCGCGCCTGAGCGGTCATCGCCGTGGCCTCCACCATACCTTCGAGGATCACCACGATCTCGAAGTCGGCCGTCTCGAGGTCCTGCTTGCCGATCTCAAACAGAGGGCTTTCCTCGTCGATCTCATGCAAGATGGTCAGCGGCGAAACCAAGAATATCCTGTCCAGGCCCTTGTCAAAACCGACGTTGATGTCCAGCTGATCCAGTGGGATGTATTCCCCCTCCGCGGTCACTCTGGGCTTGATCAGCTGGGCACGGACATGCGCCTCCACAATGTGGCTCTTGCGCAAGTTCCCGACGCGCCACATCAGACATAACTTGCCATCCCGCATTGCTATGACGGCATTGTGGGAGAACAGGAGGGTCTGCGCCCTCTTTTTGGGACGGGCCATCTTGGCCATGATGGCGCCAATCATGAAGCAATCGATGATGCTGCCCACGATGGACTGGAAGACTACCAGGAAGACGGCTAGCGGGCATTCCTCCGTCACGCAGCGGAAGCCGTAGCCGATGGTGGTCTGGGTCTCTATGGAGAAGAGGAAGGCAGCGATGAAGCCGTTGACCTGCAGGACACAGGGAGTGAAGTTGTCGTCGCCTGCCGGGTTGTCCAGGTCTCCGTGGAGAAGCGCGATAACCCAGAAGGCCAGGCCAAAGGCCAGCCAGGACACTACGAAGACTAGCGTGAAGACGATTAGCATGTAGCGCCAGCGGATGTCCACGCAGGTGGTGAAGATGTCGGCCAGGTAGCGTTGAGGCTTCTGGTCCATGTTGGCGAACTGGACGTTGCACTGGCCGTTCTTCTTCACGAAGCGGCTGCGCCCCTTCCTCCTCGTGTGGATCTTGCCATTGCCGTAGCCGTTCATTCCCCCGCCATGCATGGTGGTCAGGCGCAGGGCATCTTCATCCGACGACACGATGCTGTAGCGGCTGATCCGACCCACACTCATCTTCACAATCAACGTGTTTATCTTTCTCTTTCTCGCTTTCACTAATGGATCAGTTGCAATCAATTCTCAGGACTTGAGTGACGTTGAAATGTTCTTCCCCCTTCACTGACTCCCCCTCTCTGCAGAGCTGCAGTGGTTCAGTCCTGGGGGGTCAGTGGAGGGGTCCGGCTGTAGCACTATTTGGAGCAGCCCAGTAAGCAGAGTTTGTAGGGGACTTCAGAAACTCCAGGACCCTAGTGAGAAAAGAGAGCGAGAACCTGACATCAGTACAACACTTAAACCTGAATTAACTGTAAGTCATGTAGTCGGGAAGTCAGGAAGCAGCACTATTAGTGTAACAACAGATAGGACATTATCAAGAGATATCAAGAGATAACAGAACATAACTGTTCTGTAAGTGACTGTAAATGAGTTCAGTCTAAAAGTGTGTGGTAATAGTGTGTGCAGTAAGTGACTGTTGATAGATTTAGTCTAAATGTACACCACCAGCCAAAGGTTTGGAAGCAGCAGGAACACTGGAGGAACAAATGTGAAAATTCTAAGAATATAAAATAATTATATTTCATCAAGAGAAAGCGAATTGTTTACTGACAGCGAATATAAGTGCTTGTTCCTAAACACGTGCAGTAGTAGTGTGCGGTAAGTCATGTTAATAATCCTAACCTAAATGTGAGTGGTAATAGCATGTGCGGTAATGTGTGGTGATTGTTAATAAGTTTGGCCTAGAAGTGTGCATTACTAGTGTATGCAGTGAGGAAGGGGGTCCTGGGAGGTCCAGGATCCCCAGTTAACCTCTTGGACCCACTGAATGTGTCAAAATCAAAATTCCGGGAAGTCCTGAAAATAAACTTAAGGCATCATGCTGTCCGTCAGACACTCAAATACAAATTCAATGAAGCTGCGGCACTGCTCTGCCTCAGGGTGGCGCTGTAGCAGACTGGTTCACCCAGTTGGTCCTTCATAGCCTAGAAACTGTAACTCTGCCCGGATTCTTCTGAAAAACTTTACATTGAGCTGCAGCAGATCTGTAAATCTGAAAACTCGCCCAGTTTCCCAAGAGTTTGGAGTGAAGAGTGACTGTTCCTCATTTCTCACACTGAAGACAGAAGAGGAGACGAGGAAGATCTCCATTATGATATGCTATGGTGAGTGTATGAAATACTGGGGGTATTTCACACACTGGCAGTAAGTAAGCATTAATGAGTTTAGTCTAAACATGTGCAGTAATAGCATGTGCAGTAAATAAAGCGTTAATGAGTGTTTGTGAGTTCAGTCCATGCCTTCAACATGGCGGTGGTAGTATGAGGGAAGACTGATTGAGGGAGGGGGAGAACTCTGAGAACTTGGGCTGGAGTTCTGGGCAGCTTCTGCTTGTAGCTAGAAGGCCAGACCCCCTCATAGCTGTAGTAGGACTGATGTAGGACTGAGGAACAGGGAGGAGACGGGGGGGCGGTGGGGATTGCGAACACTTCGTCACAGGAATGGAAGGTGAGGATGTGACTTTATAGGCCTTTAGATTGGAAGAAGGAGGGGTTTCAGCCATGCTCCTCCCCCCAAACTTCAGTCATAACATAACTACATTAACATCTTGCCTAAACACCTAGACATAAAAGGAAGGGCTCTGTCTACTTGCCCAAATAATTGACTACAGGTGGTTTAACCAACAGATTAACTGAAAACTAAGAGTGCAGATGAAGAAAGAAAGGAGTGAGTTAGGATGTATAAAGAACAACATTTCACACCAATTTGTCCAGCGAGACTTTATTTTCAGAAAGGCGAATTCAGTCGGGATACGTGAATTTAGTCTCAATGTGTGCAGTCATAGTGTGTTTGTTAAGCTACGATAATAATATATGTCAACTATTAGTCTACATTACAGCACCAGCTTGGTTGAGACCAGAGCTGGACCTGAATATTCGACTACTCGGATATTCATTCTATGTGTAGGCATCTGCTTTTTCATTTTTGGGATTTGGATATTATTTGAATATTCACTGTTGAATACTGCAGAAGCCCAAAAACTGGCACTGGGACAGCCCTATTTGAGATATAGCAATAATGAATGAACAACATCGTCTTCTTTTAAAATTAGTTTAAGATTGTCAGCAAATAATCACCAATTTTTCAAAGCTCCAATATATTCTTACCATAACACGCATATTTATTACAGGGCTTTGCATTAGGAGTTGTGTGCTGTACAGTACAGTACATCTATTACATAAAGAACCTGAACAAGCAGTTTCTCCCTCACTTCATCTGAAAACATCTCCTTCAGCTGTTCTAAGAACGTTTGCAGACGTTTCTAAAAGATGACGTCACTTACAGTGAACAGTAAACAGTGGCTGGTTTTACATGCCTGCTTAAATCAATGGGAGTTCAATAATCAGAAGAGTGGAATCACAATTATCGTCCAGGTGTTCATTTAATTTGCATAATTACTTAAAGGTTAATTTATAGTTACATAATAAATGACATTCCCACATTAATTACATCTCATTTCGACAGGATTGTGTCTGCACTGAACAAAACAAGACTGCTGTTTTGGATGGGCACAACAAATGTGCAGGTGGCCTGAATCTCAAATTTCAGCTCTGTCAAATCATCGACTACATCAAGTGGAATATAAACTATAACTGGCCTGTTTGCTAAGCGTCGTTTAGTCACTGCAGTACGAATGAACTACAGGAGGGGAAACCAGCAATGCTGGAGTGGGTAATCTGGAGTTGGGAGAATTTCCAGTGGGCCGGTAGAGTTTTGGGCCAGTTACTGTGAGTTAATGAATGAACTCATGCATATAAACACAAGAATGTTTAGGCAAACTATAAAAGATTCATCCAAGTGTGTATCTGTAGTAATTTAAGGGTTAAACTCAAGTGGTGCAGCCCCAGTTTGCTGACTGTAACTCGTACAGTGGTCAGAGATTAGAGAGGCTCTAGTTAGCTTCTTATTCTTAGTTCCCGTTCCACCTTAAACGATGTGGCAGTTACATTCAGACGTCTGTTCAGGAGCTAGCTTGTAACTGCCACACTATTTAAGGTGGAACGGAATTTCCAATAGGAAGCTAACATCCGCCTCGAGAGATTATGAAATTCAGTGTGATGATGTGGTGCTGCTAACACGACTGACAGACAGCGCTCTACTGAGTTTATTACTGTTTTCACCATTTTCGTATGTGAACTATGTGAAGATGGACAGCGGTGGCAAGAAGCGCAGGCGTGAAAAAGCTAGTTAAGGAGGATGAGGACATATCCGAGCAGGTGAGCAGCGATGATCTGCAGCATATTCACTATAATGTTTGTCACACTTGAGACAAAAACTTCTTAAGCTTTCATTTTATCACTATCTAACCACCTTGTTTGTCTCAGTATAGCATAAAAATAATGAATAAGAGATAAGAAGAAGAAAAGAAGATGAAAATGCACAGATTATAGAGGAGTTATGTGGCACGAAGGCGATAGTGTGTGTAGCAGGAGAAATACTGTTTAAGGTGGGCTTTATCTGCATCATATAACTCTCGGCCTGAAAACAAATCCCACTCTGGCCCTGGACACCATCCTGCTGGTCAACCACAACACAGAAAACTCAGAGCTCATATTAGAACTCGATCTCTGGATTTGCACACAAAAGCAAATAATAACCAACACAACTTTAATATGCTGGTGACAAATCTGAAAATCTGTGAATGGGATCTACTGTTGTCCTAACAGACAAAGGACAAATCAGAGGGTCTGTGAAAGGGATCTGCTGTAAATTATACAGATAGAGGACAAATCAGAGGGTCTATGATTGGGATCTACTTTTATCCCAATAGATAGAGGACAAATGAGACTGTCTGTGAACAGGATCTACCTTTATTTGCACAAATAGAGGACAAAGCAGAACATCTGTAAACCGGATCTACCATTATTTCAACAAATAGAGCACAAATCAGAGGGTCTGTGGACAAGATCTACAGTTATCCCAAAAATAGAGGGCAAATCGGTGTATCTGTGACTGGGATCTACTGTTATTCACACAGATAGAGGACAAATCAGAGGGTCTATCAAAGGGATCTACTGTTATCCAAACAGATAGAAGAGGAATCAGAGGGTCTATGAATGGGATCTACTGTTATCCCATCAAATAGAGGACAAATCGGTGAGTCTGTGAACGGGATCTACTGTTATTTGCACAGATAGAGGACGTAGCAGAATATCTGTAAACAGGATCCACCATTATTCCAACAGATCAGAGCACAAATCAGAGGGTCTGTGAACAAAATCTACTGTTATCCCTAAAAGTAGGAGGCAAATCAGAGTGCCTGAATGAGATGTTCTGTTGTTTGCACAGCTAGAGGACAAATCAGGGGGTCTATTAATGGGATCTACTGTTATCCCAACAGATAGAGGACACATTTTAATATGCTTTGGCTTTTGCCGTATATGTTTTTTGGGGTTAATGAGTCGGTTGATGATTGTTTCATGTTCAGAGTCGGCCATCTGTTAGTAGTTACTGTGTCTGTTGCTATATATGTATATATCTATCTATTGCTATATAGTGTCCTTGTGCTTAAAACAGCTCTTAAATCTGTGTTTTCTCTACATTTATCTCCAAAGCACTGACAGCATCCAGGGGTAGATTTAGTGACGATATATGAAATTCTAATAAAAAACAGTTTTTCCTGTTTTACACCTGCTTTCCTTTTAACAGCACTTAATAACCATTTGAGGACTGAAGACACCCATTGATATGCTAAGTCTCCTGGGCCCACTGATCACACCACTGTACACAACAGTAACTTAATCTAATTTAGGTAATTAAAAGTTTAAGGGTTAAGCAGTCATCAGATGCGCTTACATGCACTCAATAATCTAATCATAATCAGATTTCTGCAGTTATCCGATTATTCAAATTATTGTGTAAACAGAACACTCTGATTTCTTAGATCGGAGTAAGGTCTAGAAATCCGATTAAGAAATCTGATAAAGAGGCTGGATTTTATCTCAGTAATCAGATTTCTCAGTGCATGTAAACGCATGCAAAAGCAGACGGCGGTACCGGAAATATATGTTTGATGAAATGAAGGATTTAAATATTAATCTTCTAGATGATGTATG